GTACCTCATTGCTTTAGAGAAGGGGGGGGGTCAGGCTGACATCATAGCCCCATACCTTTTCTATGTTCCTTTTGATGTCACACACGTCCCAAAGGAGGACCTTGTGAGGCAATAGTATGAATCTGCTGCACAATTAGTAGGCGGAGTAAGGAGAAACCACAAGCCAGGTTGAGGGGAGCCGCATCTCCCCCCCCGGGCTTGGTCTTTTTTTCCCCTGAAGACAACTGTTTAAAATGGCCACCCCGAAGAGGAGGACTCAGCTGGATTAAGATTTGTGCAGGAGGGAAGAAAGAGGTGGATAACATCTGAACCGGGAAAACTGGACAATACAACTAAACAAAAATACCCCAGGATTAAGGTAACATGGAATTTTTAAGAAGGGAAAAGTGAGCGGCAAAATTACAAAGGGACAGGGAAAAAAAGAAAGAAAATATGTTTGACAGCTAAGCGGGGCTTCGAACCGGGAAAGGAAGAAGCTGGAACTAAACATTTAACTAAATTGGACTAAAATATTTTGGGAATAAACAGGCATAAAATAAAGCTGGACTTAAGATGGTCAAAAAATAATAATAATAAAGTTTACAAATTGGAGAGTGGACTGTGCTGGAATATTGAGATTCGAAAAACCCTAAATAAAAAAATAGGGGGAAAAGGTGAAGACTTTGTATAATAAAGAGTGCCACCTTTTGACAAAAACTTGAACTCAAACAAAAGGGAAAGCATCCTGTTTCTGAATGAACTTGTGTGGATATAACATTAAAGAAATATTGAAACAAAGTAAGAATCTTAGAAAGTGAAAGCAGAACCAGAATAAAGAAAAAAGCAAGGAAAGACTGACTGTGGGATTGACTGATGTTTTTGGTATAGACCCTCGGGTGGTATAGACCCTCAACATTTTAAATAGACAAGTAACACAAAGAACACTACAAAGAAGTGGGGAAAGAAGGAAGGTTAAAAAGTTGAGATTTAAGAAGGCAATCAAAAGTGGGAATACCTGTGAAGTCAGGAAAGACCCTACAGAAAAGGAGAAAGGAAGATATTAAGAAAGAAAGGGATATAAACTGGAATGAGAAAAGATATGGGAAAAGAGGGGGAGGAGAAGCAGTAAGAAACAGGTGCATGAAATAAAGAAATACGGAAATAGAAAAATGTTGAAAAGAAATTGTTTTTTCAGAGATAATGGTTGATGAATTAAAAAGGGGATTCTGCAGGGTCACAAGGGGTAATAAGAATATTTCTGCAATTAAAAATGTTTAGAAAATAGGGTAATATAGATACTGGTAACTTTTATTAAAAATCAAGCAGGGAAAATATGCTGTGGAATCCAAATGAAAAGATGTAATGATTATTATTGTAACTTCTTAAAAATAATGGTTTATTGGGAATCAAGATGAGGGAATAAAGGTATATAGTATAGTATATAGTATATAGGGAAACCTATACTTGTTTTTTTTTAAGTGTTAACATTTGTATTAATCTAGAATTTATAAAAAGAATGTGTAATGGAAAGGGAATATGACAGACTAAAGAACCAACTAAATTAATAAGTTAATATAGACTATTAAAAGCAAGGAGAAACATTGGTAACTTTTTTATTATCATTATCATTATTCTTATTCTTATTAGGCAAACACATATTGTTTATCTTTGTTTTTAAAATAAATATTAAAGGATTATATTTGAAATAATTGAAACAAAAAGATGTTTCGATTGAGATTAATGAAAGAGGCTAGAATTAATGTGTTTGTATCTCTCCTTATTGAAAATTTAGAATGGAAAATAATAGAATTAAGTATGAATGTATAATTGTTGTCATATTTGTATGTAAAAGTGATGACCCGGAAATATGTTGTCTACTAAAAAGAGATTTTTGTTTTTAATGTGAAAAACTGAATAAAAATTGTTTTTAAAAAAAGAAAAAAAGAATGAGGATCAGCACCAGGGCTGGGATTCCACAGGTTCGCACCTATTCACTAGAACCAGTTAACATTCTAAGCAGTTCGGAGAACCTGTTGTTAGAAGAAATTACTGGCCTAATCCTGTAAGGAAGGCAGGAAGGAAACATTCTGGTGTTGCTTACAGAAACTGCCTCTCCGTTAACCCTTATTACATTCTTGGCAGGACTAGACTTCCTGTCTCTGAAACTTCTCATAGTTTTTCCCCCCTCCTTTGCTAGTACTTTGCTTGTGTGGAGTGACAATTCAAAGTTACAATGGCACTGAAAAAAAGTGACTTATGACCATTTTTCACACTTATGACTGTTGCAGCATCCCCAGTCATGAGAGGTGATGCATGCCACAATGTGAGTGATGTTGAGTTGGCCACGCCCAGCCAATAACATGACCACCGAGCCACGTCCACCCAGTCACGTGACCATCAAGCCACGCCCACCAACTAAGCCACGCCCACAGAACCGGTTGTTAAAAAAATTGAATCCCACCCCTGATCAGCACTGAAGGCAACAAATGTTCTGCAGGCATACTTTTCCTTCAGTGCAGAGATCCACAAATAGCATTTTAATTCACTGAGCTAAGGTCACTTAATACACTAAAGTGAAGCCATGCTTTAAAATCACAAGTCTGGATTCATACAGCACACTGTTAAAACCAAACAAAGATTATGGTTTTGCATAATGAACTCAGTCATATTATGCCAATCCATAGCAGAGCATGCTAGTCTCCAAATGATACTTCTGCAAATTTTCTCCTTAATTGCTTCTTTCATTTAACCAATTTCATATTAAGCAAAGCAATAATGCTGTCTGCTTTTGCCTTAATAAAATGCCACTGTTGCTTATAAACAATTACTACCTGCAGAGAGAGGCTTCTACACTAAGCCAAAAAGAAATCAGACCCTATTATGTATTAGTTTTACATGCTGATGGAACAAGAGATACATATTCTAGCTGTAGGTAGCTGAAAGCCATCTAGGAAGATTCTTGCGACCCAGATTCAAAATTCCGATGGTTACTCGCTCCATGGTCATATGAATGTATTTTGGGCTCATTTATAGTCTTGCAGTCTTGCAATGCTGTTGTTAGGTCACTGCAATTTATGTGATTTCTTATTGGAAATTGGCATTTACTTCCAGTTTCCAGCAAAAAACACAAAAACAAAAAACCACACACACACACTCATTGTGGACTATGGACTTGCTTTTTTTCATTTGCTTAAATACCATTTAAAAAAGTAAAATCAGCTTTATTACATGATGACCCATTTAATAATCAGCATGACTTGCAGGGGCCTTCAGCTGCTTGAACCCAGCTATGCAAAGTTTGAGTTAAATCTCTGGAGTCACTTTGCTGAAAAACTACAATCTCTTGTCCTGCTTCAGGAAAACCTACACAAATGGAGACCTTCCTGCGAGTGATAAAACACCATTGTCATCCTCATTTTAGAGAAATAATCTGTGTCCCCTAAAGTCAAGGGTGGGAATGACCTCTCAATTCCATTTTTCCTGCTCAGTTTTCTAGAATCTGAAAAAAATGAATGTGCAATTGCAGCTCCAACTGCCTAAATGCCTGAGTCAAGAAAAGAACAACCCTACTACCATTTCAAAGCCCTGCTACTTGTGATATCCCTCAATGCTCCTTTACATCTGTGCAAAAATGTGCAATTTTGCTGTTGAAAAATTAGTGTTGCAAACTGTGTGGCTCAATTAGATCTGTCTCTTAAATGACAAAGGACACAACCTTAAAGCCATTGACCTTATTTTACATAGGATCACAAAGTTGCTGTCAGAATAGCTATTCTGCTCAAAACAAGGTATCTCTAAGCCTATTTATAAATGTAATTTTCCTTCACTTTAAGTCCTATAAAATTAAGATAAATCCCAATAAAAGATTACATAAAGAAGCCCCTAAATGATCTCCACTCAAATAAGCTTATTCACTTATAATTTATTTATTTGGTATGGTGTCAATAAGGACAAGAGGTTTTTAATCATTTTCATTTTTTTTTCATTAAAATAATCTCACAAAAACATCTAAACCATTTTTTCAGTACATAACCTTTATCATACTTTAGAATGCTACTTTCATCTTACAATTATTCAGGAATTATTTCCCAAAGACTATCAGAATTTAGTTAAGTTCATGAATTGCCCTAATTGAGTTAGTGAACTAATTTATCAGTACAGTATTGGTTTGAGTAAAAGATCTTAGGATTTATAACTGCAATGACTTGATTCAACCAACAGATGGCTTAGCAATCAATCGCTGAGCATTTGAAAATCATTTCAGGGCTGATGCATAGATAGTCCTTGCCTTACTACCATTTGTTTAATGATTCTTCTAAGTTACGAGGAAAGTGACTTGTGAATATCTTGCACATTTATGACCACTGAAGTAGCCCCACTCACGTGACCAAAATTCAGATGCTTGGCAACCGATTCATATTTACGACTGTTGCAATATCTCGGGATCATGTAATCTTTTACAAAGTTCTGACAAGCAAAATCAAAAGGCAAGCTGAGGTTCATTTAAGTGTGTTATTAATTTAATAACATGTGACTCACTGGACTGTGGCAAGAAAGAACAAAAAAAAAGAGAGCAAAACTCGGTAACTGTCTCCCCTCAGCAATAGAAATTTTGGACTCAATTTTGATCGTAAATCGAGGATTATTCTATAGAAAGTGAAGACAAATAAGAGAACAGCATCCAAGAAGAAAAACGGATCGCCTTTCTTACGCAAATCAAGCAAACCCAGGCATTTCATACCGTTTGTACACGCGTTCCCGACTTCAATTTTAGGAAAGAAAAAACAGGGTTTTAGGAAATATTGTCCTTCACCTCCCTCATCCTTGTTTTGCTTTCCTTCGCTTCGCTTCCAAATTATTCAAGAAAACGTAGCCCAACGCTTGCTATAACTACCCCCCCCCCAAAGGCTCGCTGCTTTTAATGGGACTTTTCTTCCTGCATCACGTGGGTTCAATTTTCTCCCACCAATCTGAGAGCTGAATCCAGACGTGCTGCAGAAGTACTGAAGGTCGCGACATCCATTCACCTCCTTTAGGCGGGAAGGAGGGAAGGTTTTACCCGTCCTTTTCCCCTGACGGTCGTGCCTGGCATGGCTGAGATTTTGGAGTTCCGCGTCCCCCCGGGGAATGGCCGGAGTCTTCTCGTCTTGGGGCTGGAGTCGGATGCGTCGGAGGCAAGTGACGAAAAAGCAAGGCTGGGTTTTCCTCCAACCTTTCCCCGTATATCGACATCTTTTCAGAGTTTCCGGAGGCTCCTTCATTGCATTTGTGTAAACCGGCAAAAGCAGCCGTTGTTACCTCTCCGTCCGCTGCTTCTTTGTTAGAATATTTATTGGCAAGAAAGTTATCTGAGTCTGTGGAAACCGTGTTTGGAAAACGCCTTCTTCCCGCCTTAAGCGTTGGGGCTGTTACAGCAACCCCTGCCTTATCAACGTGGGAATCGCTGGGTCTAACGGCATTTTGCTGCTCTGCCCCATTGGGGACGGCGAGAGTGAAGGCGATTGTGTATTTTCGGTGGTAGTAAAACTACACTACGCTTTGCCCAAACAGTTCATCCTCCCCCCCCCTTTTTTTTTGCTTCAATTCATTGAACTTACCATACTCTTAAGCATATTTAGCATATCCTTATGGTGACGTGATCAAAATGCAGTGCTTGGCAACTGACATTCATTTGTGATGGTTGGGGTATCCCAAGGTCATATAATCCCTTCCTGTGACCTTGTGACAAGCAAAGTCAGTGGAGAAGCCAGATTCACTTAATAATTACAGTGAATTGCTAAACAACTGGTAAGAAAGATTGTAAAATGGGGCAAAACTCACTTAACATCTGTCTCACTTAGCAACAAAATTTTGGGGCTATTTATGGTTGTAAGATGAGGACTACCTCAAATTTTGGGGCTATTTATGGTTGTACATTGAGGATTACCTGTACTCTAAAAATAACAGGTATCCATACTGGAATTCATCAGCCAGCATGAAACTGAATCACTATTCAAGGTTTGCCCAACAAAGCAAGAGTGAGCAGTTTTCAGTTTGTGTTCAGTCCAAGCCTAATCAACTTTCAGGAAAATTGTGACTTTTAGTTGCTCACAACCCACGATCTGAGACCCTTTAGCTTTTTCACAAATACTGTCTTTTCTAATAGATTCCTTCATGTGTTTGCCTTTTTTTCCCCTCCAGCATGCTCTGCATCTTACCTTCTCTGCCTTTGGACTGCTCCATTCAATAAGACTCCACAGAAACGCTCCAGTAGCTGGGCCTGGCTATCATGCCTTTGTTAAGTTCTACTCTGCCCGGGATGCCAGCAAGGCACAACAGGCTTGCAATGGGAGGTCACTGTTTCAGAAAACTGCTGTGAAGGTATGTCACTGCATAATCTAAGATCATGGAATCCACAGCTCATACTAGACTATGATTTGCTTAATGGTGTTTTACTCTATGAAACATAACTGAACTTTACAGACCCCTGTGGTTATGTTCATACAACATTGTAAACTAAAGCCTAAGAAAGTGCACTTGTACAATATGTGAACCAGATTCTACAGCTGAGGTCTTTTAAAATAATTACTGCCATAGGATAGTTTTCAGTGATTTGAAGCCTGATTTTATCAAGATCCTCAGGTTGCCTTCAGATATGCTGAATTTCATCCCATATAATTTTTAGCCAACACATGTTGATACTGTAGCATTTCATATTCTAAGATAGCTCACCATTCAATCCCAAAGCTGTAGAAGTTTGCAAATGGACTGCTTGTATACAGTCAACGGTCCGCAATTCAGCATCCTGGGTTACTTCAGACACTTTAAAAAGAGGAGACTGACCCTCCAAGAAAGCAAGGAGGGTCAGTATAAATATAGTGCACTGAGAGGTGGGCTTCAATAATTTGTGAAAAATGTGAGCGCCTTCCACGCTTGCATGCTGCTTTAAACACTTGGAGATTTCATGCACGTGGCTTCCAGTACACGTCTTTTCTCATGCAGCTGTGGTGACTAGAGCAGGTCAGAATTTTGTCATGGAATGGAGTTTTATTTTATCACTTCTTATATTGGTAACAAACCGTTTTCTTTCCAATTTCTACACATTTTATTGAAAAATATTAAATATTTATGAAAAGTCAAAAAATGGTATAAAAATATGTCTGTCTTTTTTACCTATTTGTGAAAGACAGGAAAATACATGTAATTGATTGGTGGTAATATCTTTTCTGTTAGGTTCTTAGCAAGAGTGAAATTCAATTTTTGATGGCTTTGGGAGAAAATGGGGATTTCAGTACATCCCTCTAATGAGACATCGAATTCTTCTTTTTCAGGTTTGCATTTGTACCAGACAGAGGGCTCTTGCAAAGCAAACATTACCTTTGAACAGTTACAAATGCCAAGAATTAGCCAATTACTACCTTGGTTTCAATGGTTGGTCCAGTCGCATCGTCACTGTAAGAATTAGTTAGGTTTTTATTTTGTTTCTTATTTTTCTATTTTCATAAGGATAGTAAGACTAAATATAGAAATAGCAATACAACTGGTTTATATGCCACTCTCAGCAGTTTACAATGTCAGCATATTGCTCCCAACAATCTGGTCATTTTACTGACTTCAGAAGGATGGAAGGGTGAGTTAACCTTGAGCCCGTTAGCATCTAACTCCTGGTTGTAGGCAGAGTCTGCCTGCAATATTGCACATCACTGCACCATCAGGACAAGAAAATACATTGTTTAGTATTTGACTGTTCAGTAGTTGATGAAAGTGACCTAAAACTTGCCATTTGTTGACCACATGTGTAAATTAAATTACTACAGTCCAGTAATCTCCAGATGTGTCAAACAATTCCCATTTTCCCTATCCATGCTGCCATGAAGAGGAAAAATATTCTACTCCAATGCCCGTAGAAAACATCAGATAAGGATGATTTAGTTACATTATAGGTAATGTTTTGCCAACATGAGATGTTTTAACTGATTCGTTTTGATACGTAATTTAAATGTTCATTTTCTACTTATAGGACTGTGATGTTCTAATAAATGTTTGGAGAAAAATATTAATTCAGGAAAATCTATATTGGTAGTTGTACTTCATCTTTGGATGTTTGTTTTCTTATTATGGCTGCTTATTTACTTATCCATTTAGATATTTATTTATTTAGATTTCTTTGCTACCTACCTTACCACAGGTTAACTCTGGGCAGCTTACAATGTTAAAAAGAATAAAACACACCTATAATATGAATAAAATCCTATAAGAATACAAATTATCAACTAACTAAGAGATGGGGAGGGAGTAGGATAAGCAGGGAGGTTACAGAAGGTCGGAAGGGTGAGAGTTGACTTCACTGTAAAGGCCAAGATGTTCCAAAGGGCAGGAGTAACAACAAAGAAGTCCCTTCTGAAGCCCAGCAGCCAGGCTGATGGGACCCACAAAATGGGGCTAGCAGGGGTGGGGCAGAGCAATCCCATTGTGATAGACAATTCCTCAAGTAACCTGGACCTACGCCATGTAGGCCTTTAAAGGTGATTACTGACATCTTGAATTGCACCTGGAAACAACTGGCAGCCAATGCAGTTCACAGAGCAATGGTGTAACAAGGTCCACTCTACAAGCTCCCAAAGGTTTATCCACCCTTGTAGGCTTTGGCAGAATTTGGCCAAGGCATCCACCTCCCTCCCCCCACACTTTGGTCATTGGTTCTATATGGTGTGGCCCTGTAGTCCTTTTCTCTCCTGAGGAAAGCGATAAGATCTACTTAGAAGCTAGGCAAGGTGTTTTTTTAAATGCTTTCAAGGCCTAGGGAAAGACCTTTTCCTTTCCTTTCTTTGAATTCCAGAGGACAGGGAAACAGTATTCCATTCGTTCTCGCTCTTTCTGACTTGTTCTAGGCTCTGTCTATGTGAGAGACCGATGTGCTTCTTGTTCCATGAGCATAGGATGTGCTTCTTGTTCCATGAGCATAGGATGTGCTTCTTGTTCCATGAGCATAGGGAGCTGCCAAGGATACAAGCAAAACAAGAACTGTGCTCAAGGTGCAGAATACTAATCTACATAATGCAAATGTTCGATAAAATTATGGTAATGAAAAAGAATCCAATGTATCGTGGATAAAGACATGGACTCTTGTTTTCCCTTCTATATATTACTCGCATAATGGAACAGATGCAGAATATATCTGGCTTTGAGGATGATGAGAAAGAAGGAGGAGGAACTTTGCCCAGGCAACATAATTCAAAGTATCTTTGCGTGCAAGAATTAAGCATCCCAAGATATGGGATTTATACCAGAGGGATTGGTGTGGTTGAACTTCATGTGAACCCCAATCAAGGTAACATGGAAATGGAGAGGGTAGGGAAGGCTGGAGTGAAGTACCCAAAACATATTAAAGTAATACTATCACTTATAGTGCAGTCAGACATAGGGTTTTTCCTTTCTTGGATAGGGTTTTGCCCACCGAAATAATCACATTTGGGGATGATTCGTGATCAAGGGCTGTTAGGAACTTCAATGACATTTTCATTCCAATAAAAAGCACAGCTGCCTTTGGTATATGTTAAGTTATTTTTAGTGTTAAATGTAGATTGAAACTGGGTTGGAAAAGTGGCTCCTAATTTTTGGAATCTGCAGCAAGTTAAAAAATGACTAAATAGTCTGACTGGGTTTAGGTATTCTTCAGCTATGTTGGGGAACAATTATCTGAAGTCTCATCTAGTTTGGGAAGTCTAAGAGGTTGTAGAACATTGGAGTCACGGGAAGGTGAGGTTAGTGCTAACCTGATTGAAGAGAGCTTGATTGTAGATAGATGGAAATGTTGAAATGCATTTGAATATAAGATGGAAATGTGCTCCATTATATTCATGCTGCATGTCCTTTGTGGAGTCCCACAATTTAAAAACCAGGAGATTGCGAGTTCTAGTCCTCCCTTAGGCATAAAAGCTGGCCCAGTGACTTTGGGTTAGTCACTCTCTCAGCCCAACTCACCTCACAGAACTGTTATAAGGAAACACTACTTACATCACCTTGATGGGATATATCACCTTCATTATTCTGGAAAGGTTAAACGGGTGATAACTGAAGTAAGGAGTCTGTTCAGCAAACTGATAATAAGGCTTAGTTTAATGTACAAACTCACTGATTTTCATAACCACGTAATGCTCAAATTTACCATGCTTCGGGCTTAAATCTACTACATTTGGTAAAAAGCTGTTAAACAAGTGTTTGCTACATAAAAAGTCTACTGTAAATAAAATATAAGTAGATCAAATTTTATTAATTTTATTTATTTTCTTATGTCAAATGAAGTTTTTTTATATATTGAATCTGAATTAAATTTGAACTGGCTATTGTGTCAGAATTGCCATTTTTTACCAGGGCAGGGCTGACATTAATTCAGAAATGTTCAGCCATGCTTGAGCTACCAAGAAAATTTAAAATCCAGCTGTTATTTTGGATTTATGTCTTTCAGAGTTTCTCACAGCCTTCCGTAATGCTCAGAAGTTTGCAGTGCAGCAGGCCCTCTCGGATGCATTTCGGAAAATACTCTTCATAATCCTAGGCAAGACAATCCACCTTCCTTATAATTTCTTTTTCTGTACTTCGTTCCATCTCCCATCCAAGGAAATGACTGAATATTTGTATAATTAAATATACATCCCAAGAATACAAGCTATTTGCTTGTTCTGTGTCACACCTTCAATTTCTTTTTTCAATGTGGCTTGTTTCAAATCTTAACCATATTTGCTGGATTTATACTTTGCTCTAACCTGTATGTGGTTTGTTTGCAGGTTAACATACTACTGAAACTCAATTTGGCTTGTTCAATTAATAATGGTTATATAGATCGCAGCTTAGTGTAATTTGTGATCCTTTTCTCAGTATGAACAACAACAAATAGCAAATAAAAATAGAAGTGTTTTCCCATGAAGTGTTCTTGAAAGCCTTGCTGTAATTAAGAAAGAGAAGCAAGAATGTGCAAAGCCAAGGCTCGTTGTATTTTTATTCATCATGCTAAATTGCGGCAAAGCAATTTTTTACTTATTTTGTACATACTTTCTTTAAAATTTCTTCAGTTTGGATCAACTTGTTCATATCATTTAATGTAGTACTTTCTTTTTTAAAAAAAAAAACAAATTAGTTTTTTAAAAACAAACAAAACATAAGACATAAGAACATAAAACCTCTTTTCTGAAAGTTATTTGTAAATTTTAACAAAACAAATAAAACGTTTTATACACCATAAACACATACATATCCTTTCAAATTTCTCATTATTTCTCCTTTTACTTTTATTCAATTATATTTCTTTTCTATATTTATCTATTTTATATGTTTTTATTCATTATACTTATATTTTCCTCTGACTTGTTTTATTCTCTTCTATCTTTTGTTCTCAATTATCCTCTTCTAACATTCCTCCAAGGTTTTATTGACTCAATCAAACATAAACAGACAAAAACACAAAACATAGAAACATAAAAAACATCTTTTCTGAAAGTTGCTTAGTCCCATTCGGTTTCCCCCACATCTTTGTACAGACACAAATTCAAATTCATATTCATTTTGTATACCATTCCATATCTTATTACCATTTTCAATTTTCTATATAGCTTCTCATCTCTTTTAAACTTTCTTAGTTTTATTTTATTTATCTCATCTCAGTTCAAATCATAATATTTGTTATTCTTTGTCTGTTCTGTTTCCAGCTATCCATTTATCTTTCTTCTTTAAACAAAGCTTCTCCTGTACACTAATTGAAGTATGATGCCTTTATCTCTTTCCCCTACATTTATGATACTTAGTATAAAATACATAGCTTACATTGGGAATCTGTTTGGTGCATTCTAAAATTATACAACATTTTTTATTGTCAATGCCAATACAAATCTAATCATTAATATTAGTATTCGTTTATATCTTAAACACTTTACATGTTGCTTTTCAGTTAGATATCATACTTTTATGGGAACACTTCGGTTTTCCATAGTTATTTCCTCCCCACATCACATATTTTAAATCATTATTTCATTTCTCCTACTTCAAATCTCTCATTTATTTCATTGCCTTCTTTTTCTTCACAAAGAATTTCACTAGAGTAACACAATCTAATCATTAATATTAATATTCATTTATATCTTAACCACTTTACACATTATTTTTCAATTAAATATCATGCCTTTATGGGAACACTTATACTTTCCATAGTTATTTCCCCCCCACATCACATATTTTAACTCATTATTTCGTTAAAATGTTCCCCCTTCTCCTACTCCAATTCTCTCATTTATTTCATTGCTTTCTTTTTCTTCACAAAAATTTCATTAAATTACACTAAATATTTTATCACATTTTAAATTACATATTGTTTCTAATTTTCTAAGATTATTTCTAAATACAAATATAAAAAAACAATCTTATGTACCTTTCCAGAATCCCGTTTTCAATAAAGTTTACCCATTATCTCTAAAAGAATTTTGTTTCTTTGCATCTTGCTCCCCACCATTGAGGCTTCTCATCCCTTCCTTTCTCCCTTGCTTATTCTTCTTGCCCTCTTCACCCACTTGTCTCTCCACCTGCCTTTTCTTCTTCTGCTTTCCTCTTTTCTGTTGTTTTCTAACATAATATCCACTTTTCACCTTATTCTTCTCTTTTTGGGTTGTTTTTCCAAGTCTTAAAGTCCCCTTTTCCTTTTCCTCTTTCTCCTTTCCTTCCCCAAATAAAGTCACTTGTTCATCAAAAATGGCTTCTTCTTTATCCCAATCATCCTGTTGCGCAGTCAGCTTTTCATAAGTACAAACCGCCATTTCTAAAAATTGAAAAAGAGTGCCAAGAGAGTCCTACCCTTCTTGTTCTTCTTTTTTGTATTTTTGATATTCAAATTTCAACTCATCCACAAGTGATGCCATTGTAGAAAGAAGTTTTTCCAAACAACCACTCAAGTGTTTTTAATCAAAGCTAGTTCTCAGAAATTCCAAGATCACCAAACAGTCCAAATAAGCTGTTTCTTTTAATATTTTCTCCTTTCTTCACTTTCTCTTTCTGTGGTTAGTGTTTAGTCACAAAGTTCCGTTTAAAATATATCTTTTAGAAGTCTTATTAATATTTAATAACTCTTTAAAATTCTAGGCAATCTTCTCCTTATTTTCAAATTCTGCTCCAATTTTTTTTTCCTCTCCCTTCCCACTCACAGCAAAAAAAGTTTTTTTTTTTTTAATGTTCAGAAATCCTTGTCCCTTCAGCATTTAATTACCTCCAATGCAGGTTTTCCGATTTCTCTTATGGTTCCATCTGCTGTCACGTTAGGAAGGAGAGTGAAAAGAAAGAAAAAAAAACTTTTCCTTTTAAAATTCCATTCGCCGCTTGTAAATCTCCCTGGAAACAATTTATCTTTGGCAAATTTCAAGTTCCAGGGTACTTTCTCTTACTTTATCCTGGTCAGCAAAAACCACTTTCACTTCTTCACGACTCTTCCGACTTTCTTCCTCCTGCACAATCTTATCCAGCTGCAGGCTTCTTTGTGGCGGCCATTACTGACTGCCGCTCCTCCGCCTTGGGAAAAGGGGGTTTTGCCGGCTGGGGAGGGGGTCTGCAACACCCCCAAACCCCTGTCCGGGTCCCCCCTATCTTCAGCTGCCTCTACGGGGCAGCTATATCCCCCAAATCCAAACGGATCAGGGGCACCTCGGCGGCGAGCGCAGCAGGGATCGCGCGGTGTCATGAATCCCTGCCACTGCCAAAGCCTTGAAAACCGGAAGTCCTGATGTAGCACTTTCAACCTCCAGATAAGTTATTCCAATTAGCTGTTGGCAAGTTGGAGAGTAAAACTGAATGGCTTCTTAATACATTCTTCTCATTGTTGTGAATACGTTTATCTGCTCTGTACTTTTACTTTTTCTTCTCAATGCATTCAGCTTCATGCTTCCATGTGTCCTCAATGTTGTCTTTCTATTTGCCTTCAAAGAAACTTTGTTTTAATCACATCAATAATCATAAAATAACTTCATGCCTGACTCTTCATTTCTCTCATGTTTCTTTCATCATGGGAATTCCTGGTTCATTTCATTGATATCATGCTCACATCAATATTTCCAATTGAACTTTCCTTTCACTGATTGCCCCATTTCTGGGGTACATTACTGTTATTTGTTACTGAGAAACAACTTTAGCCATAGCTCAGGAGATTCTGCCCACAAATCTCTCATATTGCATCTAAATTAATCTTAAATCTTACTTTTAACCAGATTATAAACAGATAATAGTAATTAATTATGGGCATTCTAGCATTTAGGAATAGTAAGAAAGTATTAATTTTAGTTCAGTTCTAAACTGAGAAATTATAAAATCCTAAATTTCAGAAATGTTTCAAAATTTGTGTTCATTTGTTTATGGTGGATTTGTTCAAAGTTGGCCTTATTTTTTATTATTTGTTTCAGAAAATGGGAAGTTGGCGGTGGAGTACAGCTGTCCTGAGAAAGACCCCATTGACTGTTTATCAGAAGAGGAACTCAGGGGTCACATTCAGGTAAACAGAAGCCCTTTTTTAAATGCATTTGCATACCCTCAAGTTGCTTTCTTTTTTTTCCTTTATCATCAACAAAACTAAAATAGAAAATAGAAAAATGAACATCCAAAAGTAATGGAAAAAAAAAAAATCTTGTATACAACCACCACCACTCCAATGTTAAATAGATCTAATCTTGAATGTTAAAAAAAAAGCCACTGGCTTGATTCTGAAAAGTAAACTAAAAAAAAAACACCTGTCAAGTTCTTCCCTTACATAACAGGATTACAAATAGTTAGTATAAGCTTTCCCATCCCTATTATTAAATACTATATTAAAATACTACATTAAATAAACAAATATTCCAAATGAGTTAGTCTCTGTATAATAATCAAATCGACCCAACATCTAATCATAATATATTTGTTAAAGGGGTGGGGGGAATCAACAAGTTAGCCCAAACATTACGCTCAACTTCAAATCCTGTTAACTTTCTGTGATTGTATTAACACATAAAAACTCCACAGACTGTTTCCAATTCCTCATAAAATTGTCTAGTCCCTTGTCTCTAATCCAGACAGTTAATTTTGCCATCTCTGTCAGTTTTAGTTTTAATTGAGTCGCTTTTAAAATCCATTCTTCAACAATTGGCATCTCTTTTCCTTTCAAGTGCTTAGCAAGCCCACTTTTTTAAAATTTATGTATAATAGTTACAAGAAAAGCTTCTGGTTTCATTAGTATTTGTATCTTAAATATTTTCTGCATTATCACAATTATGTTTATCCAGTATGGTTTAACATGTTTACAAGACCACGACATACGGTAAAATGTACTTGGATTTTGTTCTACATTTCCACCACTTGCTAGAGATTTCACTAGACATTTTCACTAGTCTATCTGGGGTCAAATACCAACAATACATACATCATTTTATAAAAAATTCAAAGTGTAAGTCCAAGTAAATTTTAAACCATTAGTCCATACATTCTTTCATTTATCCAGCATTATGTTATACCCCAAATTTTTTGCCAACTTTTCCATACTGTCTTTGACATATTTATCTTCCATACTCATCTTTTTAAGTAACCATTTTATATACTTTATTAATCAGGTGGTCATCACCAGAACATAAGCTGATCTCCAATTAAAATAAAAAATAAAAAAAATAAAACTATCAAATTTAAATCTTTCAAAAATTCTATAATAATTAAACCAATCACAACAAATCCTTCACTTACTTATTGTTCTCTTGTTTTTATCTTAAGTTCCTCTTCAAATGCCAGTAGATCCCAATATGTCATCCATTTGCATTCCAGTGACACCTCTTTTCTATATATTATTACTCCATGGGGTGATAGCCAAAGTGGCGTTTCGTTAGTCAATCTTTTTATGTATTTCTACCCTACTCTCCCAATTGATTGCCTAATGATACGATTCTTAAAACCAGAATTAACTTTCACTTTGTCGTACCTCAAATAAGCATGCCACCCAAGTCTCAAATCACCTTCAAGATCTAAAAACCTTAGATTTTTCAAACTTACCCAGTCTTTTAATCACTCCAAACAACAAGCAGCATAATCTTTTAACGTCCTTTCAGTTAGCAACCTGATATCATAGGTGTGTGGAAGCTGAAAGGAACGAGTAGAAATAATTATCCCTCACAAGAATTTTAGAATACAGTTATTGCTGGAGCATTTATCAGTTTATCAGACTTGGAACAAATACTGTTGGGAGACAAGTGGACTGGAAACCAGAGATGCTATGGTGTATAACAGATCACTCATCAGCTCCTCTTAGCAACAAAGGTTGGCACTCCAGCACTGCTGACTTCTCAGGCTTGAAGGATTGTGAGTGGTGAATTCTTGATAAGGATTGTTTCCAGTTTAATCAGCATCCCTAGAAGCACATGTCTCAATCTATAGGCTTCTCTCTACAGCTTCAGGTACAATGCATCGGACAGAATAGACAGAAGAATTTATTGGGGAAAGGACCAAACTTTTACAATTCATTTTCCAAGAATGCCAAGAAACGTATCAACGTGTGTCATCTTTAAAATGTTGTCTGCCTTTCTTGCCCTCAGGCTCTATATTCCTTTCAAATTGTGAGGGTATGGAAAAGCTCTAGAATTTATGCATCTTTGACAAGCTGTGACCACTCTAAATAATGTTGGCAGTCCTCCTAAAAAAAAATACAGAACTAAAGATCGGAAATTCTGGAAACTGCAGTCTAACGTAGCTGAGAGCTGTCTAGTTGGCAAAAGCCATTTTATGCAAAATTATAAATCCATGATAGTAAGTATGGACCTTGCGGTATTTAAAAGTAAAAGAAAAAAAAATAACTAAGCAATATATGCTGGAGGACGATGGATAAACGGGAACAATTGTCACCATTAGCACTCCTCAACTTGAAATCCTCCAGATATATAAATTCTGATAATCGTGGTAAAATATGGAAACTAGAAGCTCAACAAAAGCATAGAAGATTGAGCCTTGTCAAATCTTCTGAGTTTCTTAGAAGCATCTGCCCACCCTCTCATGAAAAACTGTATATAATTAGCTGCATATTTGATCTGACATATAAGGCTATTCTTTCCTTTTCAAAGATGAAAAACTGCCCTCTTGTCTGATTTAGCATTTTTTTTCAATTGGTTGTCGAATAGGCCAGGGGTCTCCAAATGCCAGCCTGCAGTCTACTAGTCAGCCACGAACTGTTTGGTATCAGGGTGCAGAAGTGGTAGACGTGTGTGCACATGCATCCCCACTTCCACAAACAGCAAGCAATCACATGCTCACGCTCTCAATTTGCTATCAGGGTGCAGAAGCGGCAGACGTGTGTGCGCATGCATCCCCACTTGCACAAACAGCAAGCAAGCACGTGCTCACGCTCTCAATTTGCATTAATGGCAAGCACGTCTACCCACCACAAAAATAGGGTGCGTGCTTGCCCGCCACTTGCATGGAATCATTCTCTCTCCCCCCCGCCACTCCCCCGCCAGCAATCCACAAAGCCAGAATTCTGAAATAGGGCATAGAAAGAAAGACAGCAAAAGAAATAGTGAATGCATACATGCATACACAAAACTATATCGAATGTCCTAGTGGTTAAGTCAGCATGTAAGCATAACTAAAAATGACCAATAAAGAACAGGAGAAAGCATGTGATAAAATGCACCCAGGGGATCAGCTTAGGCTGTACTCCTGCTTCCCAAAGAGGAGAAACATAAGATAGCTTCATCTATGTACTTATTGTCCAGATACTATGGGATTTTTTGGAGCTAAATCTGCAGAGCTAGACTATAATATTTGAACAAAGCAGTTAGTCTTTTAGAATGTGTTTGCATAATTAAATCATGTTTTTTAAATAGTATTTGCAGAGTACAGTAAGTCGTGGTTTGTTTAGTTGTAATTATTGATTTAGCTACAGTTAGTTGGGTTCAGTAATCACATCTGGTATAGTTTGTAAACTAGGGTGACTTGATTCACATAGTAAAACAATTATAGAAGGCTTTGTATGATGTCTTAACAAGATTCTATCTGAAAGACGGAGAACTTTGGATTGACATAAGTAACCTCCTATGTCAATCCAAGAGTTCCTTGTGAAAATTTAGAGGGAAACACAGTTGCTGGGAAAAAGAATGAAATTGTATGTAGAAGGAGCCCATTCTTGCTGTTTGGGGCTTCTGTTAAACTATGCAGAAAGCATCCAAGGTAACTTTTCAAAATGACTTGTATTAAAAATCTGTGACAATTGAAGAATTCAGCCTTTGCAAATTATCAAGGTGTTCCTTCCCTCTTTCCCCAGATTACTGAATTGTCATTTTCACAGCTGGACCCTCTAGGAGAAGAAAGAGATCTTGTGCAATTTTAACATGGATGGAGAATAGCAGATTATTGACACAGATTCTGTTTTCTTCTTGCTGATCTGGAAGAGTATCCTGTTCTCTGCTAAGCACATTATCCATCATCCTGGAACTCAGTTCTTGTTTTTACAGCACTTGGGTGATGAAACTACCAAATTCAAGCTACCAATCAGAAGATAGTACTCTTCCAAGGAAAGATTAATTGCCTATTTATAATGAGTGATGATTGGAAAGGCAGTAGTATTGTTGGGTTTTATATTTTTCTAATAAATGGTTTACTGATAGAAAAGACGACTTGATTCTATCTTTTTTTATAGGAGCCAATATTTTCAATAAAATAGATACTAGCTTTGTATCATAAATATCCAATAGGGGATTACCATCCCCCCCACTCCCAAATAATTAAGAAGTGAGGGAGTGGGCCAATAGAAATAGAACAAACTGTTGAAAAGAAAAGAAGCAAGAGACGTCTTTACTCCCTTTACATTTACTTTTTTCTTTCCTCTCTCCAGATTTTACCTCAACTTTCTCTCTAGAGCAGATCCTCATCCCATCCCAGAAGTAAAATGTCTGGGGGATGCTATAGTCAGTATGCTTGTGTGTGTGTGTGTGTGTGTGTGTGTGTGTGTGTGTGTGTATGAGGTTTGTATATAAATAGCGGATATAGAACGAGATCACTCAGTATTATAAATGGGAGCCTACTATTTTACAGGAAAGTAATTTAAATTGGCTATTAAATGAAATAATCATTTTTGCGCTGCCTTATCCTTTTCTTCAAAAGTAGATTTTGTAAGAACTGCCATAGCAAATCACTGTTGCAAGATGTGATAATTTAATCACCCCAAAGCCTCCAGCAATCATTTACTGCTTTTCACTTTTAACTGTTCTTTGGAAAAGTCTTCCTATGGAAATCAGGCTTGATCTGATTAAGATAAAGTTGTTCTGGAAAGCATTTTAATTTATTTGGGATGGGTTTTTTTTTATTGCTATTTTCTCCTTAGTTGTCCTTTTTTATATTCTCAAGGTTGATTTTATATTTTCAGATTCACCCTAGGTATTGTAAATTGTCCCACTGATAGTATTCACCTCTAAAAATTGGATTGCTTGCAATATGATACAAATGGAATAAATAAATTAGGTACAAAGGAAGAGAGCTGGGCGTTGCATATGAAGTTTCTCTTTCTAATTTATCTGCTGTTTCTTCTGAGGATGACTAGTATTGCAGGCTAACTGCCCATAGTCTGGAGTTCAAACATGATTGGCTCAAGATTGACTCAGCCTTCCATCCTTCTGAGGCCAATAAAATGAGGATCCAGATTGTTGAGGGCAATATCCTGACATTATAAAATCAGAGAATGCTGTGTAGCACTGTGAGGGGTGTATATAAGTCTTAAGTGCTACTACCCTCCTTTCTCCCTATTTGTCCCTCTTTTTTTGAGCCTTGGGTAATTTGCAGTGATGTCTTTTAGTAGCTGGAGAATGATAGTCAGAATTTTCAATCTGATTTTCCAGTTGAAATATACAGTATTCCCCACTATGGCTCTGACGCAAGAAATAATGACAAATATCTGAGTCATCTCATGAAATCAGCTCATTATCTGTAAAAGAGACCACTACCTATATTGTTGCCATAGTTCAGGCAATTCTATGATGTCAGGAATCATGGTAAAATGATATCACAACTAAATGGAACCCTTGGAATGTCTTCACCACCACCAGCCTCACTAGTGCAGCCTCCATATGGAATGACATGTGGATGCGGTTGCTTGGTAACCATATAGAGCGATCTCCAGGGTTGGATGCCATTTTTCAAGGCAGCCCTTACTGGGGCACATGAAAACGATGGGACAGGTAGCGGCCTCTGCTACCCTTCTTTTCTTCCTTGGAATCTTATTGGAGCCTGTTAGCTGGTTGGATGCAGCAATACAGCCATGCCCAGCCTCGTGCCCTTGTACTTTAAAAATCCTCAACTGCAGCGTGACTATCAATTTTCCTGGTGTCAACCATGTGCCTGTTCCAGAGCCATTTCGTCATCCCTATTTATTTGTCATGCTGTGAGTATTTAAATCTTGGAGGCACACCTATAGTTGAGAAGGGAAGTCCATTTTAAGAGAAGGAGATTTTTGTTACAAGTAAGGGAAAGATGAGGCATAATATTCTCAGGTACAATAAGTATAAAGATGGAAAGTTTTATATCCTGAAATGTATTGGTCTTACTCATAATGCTTTGAACATTGTGGCTTTTTTTTGTTTTGGCAAGACAGTTTGGTGGAGCTAGCCACTGGTTTGTAAATTACATTTTACAATTTTACTCTCATGAAATCAGCTAGGATTTTTTTTTCATGTTTGGACTTGAGGTTCATGCGATATGTGGACAAAAACACAGATAACCTTTACACATTGCACAATGTGGGTTGTATTTTATTTGGTCCTCTACGTTATGACTATTTCGGTATTTTTAATACAAAGAAATTGATAATTTTGTATTTGTGTTTTGAATTTTATTTGGCTGTTCATGTTATACATATATAGTATGACTGTGTACTATATGCCACGGCATTTTCTGTACAATGCCAAAATTTGTTTCCTGCTCCCCACAAATATTCTTATGTCTATCATTCCCAAGTATGATAAATGTGAAGCAGGAGGGACTGCTTTTCAGTTTAACTAGCTGTTTGGATATAAGGGTGATAGTATTCAAACAGATCAACACTCAGAATAGCTCTGGAAAGGACTTTGGTAGTTACTAGTCTAGTCCCCTGCTAAAGGAGCAGACCCTGTACCATTTCAAAGAAGTGGGAGTCCACTCTTTTCTTAAAAGCCTCCAGTGATGAAGCACCCACAACTTCTTAAGGCAAGCTGTTTCCCTGGTTAATTGTGTTCACTATTAGGAAGTTTCTCCTAAATTCCAGATTGCTTCTGGCCTTGATTAGTTTCCATTCATTGTTTCTTGTCTTGCCTTCAGGTGCTTTGGAAAATAAGTTGACCCCTTCTTCTTGGTAGCACCCCCTCAAGTACTGGAATACTGCTATCATGTCACCCCTAGTCCTTTTTTTCTCCAGAATGACCATACCATTTGCATCGGTTTTTCATATGTTTTTGTCTCCAGACCCTTAATCATCTTAGTTGCTGGGGTTTTTGCGCTGTTTCCAAAGTCTCAACATCTTTTTTGTAATGTGGTGACCAAAACTGAACGCATTATTCCAGGTGTGGAATAATCTAACTAAGGAAAGCAGTACTAATATTTCACATGATTTTGATTCTATGATTGTATTCGCTTTTTGGCTGCTGCCGGCTCATGTTTAAGTGATCGTCCCCTAGGACTCCAAGGTTTCTCTCACAGTTACTGTTTCTTAGCGATCGTCCCCTAGGACTCCAAGGTTTCTCTCACAGTTACTGTTTCTTAGCTATGTATTGCCTAAACTGTCCTAGTACCATTTTTCCCATCTAGGTGTAAAACCTTACTTTTCCTCATATTAAATTTTATTCTGTTTGTTCAATTCTGTCAAAATCTTTTGGATCCTAGGTTATTGGTTATTCATGCTAGCTTAGTGTCTTCTACAAATTTGATGAGTTCCCCTTCTATTGCCTCATGTAACTTATTTATGAAGATATTGATGAGTACTGGGCCTAAGACAGAACCCTGTACCCCACAGCTTACTTCTGTCCATGTGGACGTAGTACCATTTGGATCTACTCTTTGAGAACATGTTGTCAGCTAAATAAAAATCCATCTGGTGATGATGCTGTCTTTCCCACATTTTTCTAGGTCAACAACAAGTAGGTTGTGGCCAACTTTGTCAAAAGATTTAAGTTATTCTGGAAAGCATTTTAAAGTATTGGTAGTGTTTTTTGTTGTTAGTACTATTTTTTCCTAAATTGTCGTTTTTAATATTGTCAAGTTGTAAATTGTCCCACTGATAGTACCCATGTAAGCCTCCAAGGCAATGTGATACAAATGCAATAAATAAATTAAGTGGAAAGGAAGAAAGCAGGATGTAGTGGGGAGTTTCTGTTTCTAATTTATCTGCTGTTTCTTCTGAGGATGATTCTGTAGTATTGCAGGCTAACTCTGTCCATAGTCTGGAATTCAATCCTGATAGGCTCAAGGTTGACTCAGCCTTCCATCGTTCCGAGGCTGGCAAAATGAGGACCCAGATTATTGGAATCAATATGCTGATATTATAAAATCAGAAAACGCTATGTAGCACTGTGGGGTGGTATATAAGTTAAGTTCTACTACCCTCTTTCCTCCATTCTTTATCCCTCTTTTTTTTGAGCCTTGGTAATTTCTGGTGATGTCTTTTAGTAGCTGGAAAATGATAGCCAAGCCTTACAATCTGATTTTCCAGTTGAAATATACAATATTCTCCACAGTAGTTCTGACCGAAAAAAATAATCACAAGTATCTGAATCATCTCATGAAATTAACTTGTTATCTTTAAAAGAGACCATTACCTATATTGCTGCCATAGTTATGGCAATTCTATGATGTCAGGAATCATGGTAAAATGATGTCACAACTAAACTGAATCCTTGGAATGCCTTCACCACCACCAGCCTCACTAGTGCAGCCTCCATATGGAATGACATGTGGATGCAGTTGTTGGTGTGATAATAATCACAAAATATAGCCAAAGACAGTGAACAAGAGCTTTATTATTAACCTTTTGTAAAAGGCAATTCTGCTCATGGCAGAAGACGTTTTCTCCAGGAGGGCTGGGATTTATATACAGTTTCAAATATACAGTCTCTGCCCCTTTCCTGGGTTCAGTATCTATCCAACTACATATCTCCCTATGCCACACCCATATTATTGTTGCGTAGCACCTGTTTCCTTGTCTTTGGAAACTACCCTTGTTCTCATGGCTTCTTCCTGTTATGTCCATCGAAACACAATGGATCATTAACCAGTTCTGTTCAGATCACTATGACCCAGTATCTCCCACATATAACCTAACTCCAAGAAATACAACCCCTATGTTCCAGCCAAAAACCTGACATTTACTTATTAAAACACAACAAGTTACAAAACATGTTTGTTAGATACAGTTACATAATTGTCCAGGAATCATTGTAAAAAGGTCACATATCAAACCATATAAGTGACCTCCAGGGCTGGATGTCATTTTCCAAGGCAGCTTTTACTACTTTTACAACTTACCTTTTTATATATATATTTGGACTTGAGTCTCATGCAATATGTGGACCAAATCATATATAATCTTTAAACTTTGCATAATGTGGATTGTATAATTGTGACACTGTAGGCAGGTGGGCATAAAATACACCTTTGAATGCATTGTTAACATTATGTTTCAGATTAGGCAAAGAAGTTTGTTAGAAAAGCCAAAGGAACTTTTAAAAACAAAACAGCTTATCAAATAACAAAAAAAAAAATTATTAAATTTCAAGAAACGTGTGTATCTATATTACTTAGAAACATCTATATTTATATAAAAAGCATATATATATTTATATAAAAATCATCCACATAGACTCAGTACGGAATATCAATAGAAGGAGCTGACAAAATAACAAAATAACTTCATCAATTTGTATTATATAAAATAGCCAGTTTAGTATAATTGTTATAGGTCTGGCCTAGAAATCATTAAACTCTGAGTTCTAGGTTTCCCTTAGGCACAAAACCCAATTGTCTTCCAATTCCAGTGATATATCTAGAAATTGGAAAGTTCATGTGATGATGATGAAGATGAAGCCATAGTCCCATTATGCTATATTTTTTTAAGAATATAGACAAATCAACAAGCATAACTGCCTAATATGGTCTAAGAAGAGTTGTTATGTTCTCAATTTTCTTTTTAGTTTAATGTTTGGTTTGTTTTTTAGCAGAAATATCAAGGCAGCTGTTTGCCCCAATATAAAGCCAACTCCAGAAATTTTGTAAGATCAGTTTCTTCCTAATATTTCATTTTAAGGCCTACTTATAGGCAACTTTCCAGAGGTGGCTGAACTGCAACTGTGAGAAATGCTGACAGTTGCAGTTCAGCCACCTCTGGAAAGTTGCCTATAAGTAGATTCACCAATCTGTGAATAACAAAGATGAGAATGTGTCTAAGTGGAAACACATCTGACAGCTCCTTCCCTGCTTCTCTTTAAACACCTGTGGCTGACCTTGAGAAGATTCTGTGGTGTCTCCAGTTGTATCATTTTCTTTTCAGATGTGTCTCCATTTCCTGTGTAAGATTAATGTGGTATGCAGATCAGAGATAGACCATGATGTTTATTTCAAGACATTCTATTCATTTGAATTGTATTCTCTCATATTCATTTTTTCCCTCCAGGGATTTTACTGGAAACACAATTTCGTTCATTAACAAACAGATGTGGCGGGCCTATCCTTGGACTGAATATTTGTGAGTATACTCTCAGGCTCATCCTATGTTACTAACATGGAAGGGATGTCCATTTCTATTGTCCTTCTTTACTGTGACTTGGACGTAGGCTATCCTTGAGGTAGCTGGATGCACAGGGGGGATGTTCCCTGTCCACTAGAGCTCTTGATGGTTATGCATCACAAGTATCTCACTATTGCAAGTAGACTGGATGCACAGGGGGGATGTTCTCTGTCCACTAGAGCTCTTGATGGTTATGCATCACAAGTATCTCACTATTGCAAGTAGACTAGTGAAATGGACAGTATGGTGTCCATCTTCCACCACAGCGAAAGGCTGTAAGTTTGTTTAGATGTTTTGTTGAGGTAATTTCCCGTTAGGAGAATGAGCGCATACAGGGGGACGTATTTGAGAGAAGTGTTTGAATAATACACACACAGTACACAGATATACTGTACAGTAAATGTAGGTTTTTACTTCCAGAAATGTTAAGCAAAGTCCAAAATAAGCAATCCAAAGTCATTCACAATTTAAATCAGTCAGTTTTCAATCCAGGGATAATTCAAATATTGTCAAAAAAAAGTTCAGTATCAGACTTACATTAAATCCAGTAATATCAGTCAATTAGAAGAAATGGAGCAACGTCAATACTTTCCAACGGAAGGAAACAGAGATACACTCACACTCTCTTCTGAGACTCAGACCAAGACAAACCAGGTTTTTGGCTCGATCTTATGGCCGTTTGAGAAACCACACCTAATTACAGTTTTGCATTTTCTTAAAGATACAGTTTTAAAATGTTTATCCTGGTTTATATATTTCTAACCCAAATACCTGTTAGGTGACTTATATTCCTAACATGTTGTTCTAAATTTTCTTCCATCTCTTTAGGATCCTCAAGAACAATCATTTGAGTAGACTGGATAATACGTCTCTAGATGGCTTGCTTTCACTCACACACCTGTAAGTTTTTATCCCTAGGCGTGTCTTATTTGCTATCTCCCAAAGGACTGTCTCATTTTTACACTGAGTAAAACTCCTAATGATCAAGTTTCTGAGTTACACTTTAGTCTTGTGATTTCTCTGGGCTTTGGGTCTTCCCTTTTGAAGGAGCGATTTGCTTCCTTGCATTTGAAGCTGTATTCCCGGAGATCCTTTGAAATGATTGCCTCATCTGGTTTCCTGACACTGAAATTGCTTAGTAGCAATAGGCTGGCATTAAGCCAAAAGGCAGAGGTATTGGGATTTCCTCAATGAGCATAAAAACATGGTGGGAAATTAGATTTATTAAAATTATTATTTTTGTGTGAAGGGTGAAGCAATGTGAATGTAGGCATTGATCAAAGAAAGCAGGATGAGAAAAAAAATACTGAGTTGACCAGCGAATGGATGTGGTTTGGCTAAGAAGTCTGTGTTCAGTTCAACCACTAATCAAACCAGGCCAACCCTGATTAGCTCTTCTTTACAATTTCTATAATCTTATGTGCATATAATTACAATGTCCTGATGTTTAAAATTGTCAAAACAGTCCAAATCAGCCCCACACTAACAGAATCAGGAAGGCTGACAGTTAAAAGATTTTGCTATTCTAAGATTATCCTCAGCTTTCTAGCAAGTTAATTTGAACTGGATCATCACTGGATATCCTTTGAAATACTGGTTTTTCAATCAAGCTCTCTTCTAGGAAATGTGACATTGAGAATGCTTTACAATAGCTTCACTCCTTGCTGCAAGGACCACATAAGATGTCAGAAATAATACTCCATTAGCATTGGCTCTCTTGGGGTTTGCTCCTCTCGTAAGAATGTTTTTTTTTCAGGAACGGAGAATGAGTGGGGCCCTTGTGGACTGTACCCTGGTAGGGAGCTTAAAAGAATAGTAGCCATCTTGCCTTGTTTGTGACACAGTGCCTGGAAGAGGAAGGCAGTTGTTTCATTTACTTTACACCATGAAGGGATCTGAGGATACTAACAGCAGCCAAAATAGACATGTGTCCAAAGATCTCATGGTCCTCTTAAGATTCTGCTACTCTGCTGCCTGAACTTTCATCAAAGGCAAAAGGAACTTTTAATTAGAAAAGCTTGGCTATGTTTGAATTGCTTGAATTTAAGGATAACGGGAGCTGCCTAATCCTTCGCTTGTTGGGAATTGGAGGGGGTAACATTTGACCTAATTTTTGATGGTTGGCTGTTGTTTTACCTTCAATTCGTCACTAAGAGCAGGGAACCTGGGAGTACAGTGGATGATTAGAGGCTGGATGGAAAGATTGTGTGGTTTCTGTCTATTAAAAGCACTCTAGTACCAATCAGAAGTGCAAGGGCCAGGGACGGGCGGGTCTTGGGGGCAAGTAGAAATGTGGTAGTGGTTTTGGGCAGAGAGAGATAGAGTTGGAGATGGAGAGTAACCTGAATATACAGTTTCAGTGTACTGTTTTGGTTCTGGGTCCTGATTTTTTGTGCTGATCTCCAATTTCCTTACGTGGTTTTGGACTCTGGCTTGTGCCTTTGAATAACAGGTTGGTTTTTAATAAAGCCCTAACCCTAATTTTAGATTTAATCCATGGGCAGCCATCTTGCTGTGCATTACTGAGACCTGGCTGAGCATGAAGAAGGAGAATGGCACCAAAGCTACGTTAGCAGAATTGCTATGTTTTGGGTGGGAGTGGAGAATGGGTGCTGCCTTTAGATAGCTGGGTATGAAGCCTTACTTATAAGGTTAGGAATTAGATGAGATTGCTGGTACCAACCTCCTTGCACCTGCTACTTGGTACCATATGCAGATTGGCACTGAGTTCCCCAATCTTATAGTTGTGGGGGATTTCTTCATGCCTATTTGCTTAGGCAACAAAGTTGCTTGCCAACACAATTACAAGATTCTTGGTGACCAACAACATACAGAAATACAGTAAAGAGTAAGAAAAACAGTAGATAAAACTAAAACAAATATATGACATCAGTCCTCAAAACCTTTCTAGATATGTCCTTATCTTCAACCTTTTACTAAATGCAGCAGTGTGGGAAACAGACAAATCTGCAAACTTTTAGGACAGCTTTCTCCAAGCTGATGCTGTCCAGATAGGTTGCTTATATTCCACTTTTATTATTTTTATTAATAACTCAAGGCAGCAGATACACAATATGCTCCTTCCTCCTCTTCCTATTTTCCCTACAACAACCACTCTGTGAGGTGAGTTTGGCTGAGAGAAAGTGACTCATCCAAGTCAGCTTTCATACCTAAGGTGGAACTAGGACTCACCATCTCCTGGCTTCTAGCATTGTGCCTTAGCCACTACAGCAAATTGGCTGTATGTGGGGCTATAATTCCCCATTTTGTTCTACCTGGTACCATGCCCAATATTGCTGCAAACAAGAATGAAACTATGATGAGGTGGATGGAAAAACAATGGTATGCGGAGGCTTATCTCATCTATGCACCACATGTTGGCTTGTTATATTAAAGTTACATATTACAGGCAAGCAAATAAATGAAAAACACATAAAGCAACTATGCAAGGTGAAGGTGGAGCTAACATTTTCTTCCGGGTATAATATAATGTGTGTGCTCTTTTAAACAGGGATGTCTCATATAATCATATCCAGACCATTGAGAAAAATGCATTTGAACCTGCTCCACTTCTGCAATCTATGTAAGTCATTAAGCCAAAAAACAAAAATCCAGTTTAAGCCATGGTGGAAATTGGGGAAGGAGGCAAACTGAAATCATATAGCAATTAATCTTCCCAGCTGTCAGTGTGCCAATGATTTATTACTGAAAGGTTGACCCACCCTTAACTATTATTAAAATGGGGAGGGGGAACTTGGACTCGAGGTTGAAGGAGGAGGGCTTGACCCAGGGAAGACAATTTTCCAAGAAGTACCATATGAGTTCAGACTGAACTATTAGTGGATCAAGTTTCAGCTCCAACTTTGATTGTTAGTGCCCAGACCTGAGTTTTCATAAGTGTTGTAAATGGGGGGAGAGGGAAAAAACTTTTTGGAGCAGAGCTTGAAAAAGGAGAAGACTACCTAGAATTTTAAAGAAAGATACATTTTAATGGGAACCTTTTGATCAATCAGTAACCCCATAAAGAGAAATTGAAGAGGGTAAAAAAAAAAGTATTGAAAGAAACAGTCATTTGGACTTTTTAGTGACTTTGAAATTCTTTTGGAATTACTTTTGATTAAAAATATTTGGGTGGTTGTTTTTGAAGAAATCTTTCTCTTCAGGATGGCATTGCTTTTGGATGAATTAAAAACTCAATAACAAAAATATAAGAAAGAAGAGCAAGATGGAAAAGATTCTTGGGGCACTCTTTTTCAATTTTTAGAAATGGCGTTACGCACCTATGAAAAATTGACTACACAGCAGGACGACTGGAACAAAGAAGAAGAAGAAGCCATTTTGGATGAGCAACGGGTTCACTTTGGGGAGGAGGAGGAAGAGGAAAAGAAAAAGGGGATTTTAAGGGTAGAGAAAAAAATCCAAAAAGACAAAAATGAGATGAAAGCTGGATATAAGGTTAGAAAACAACAGAAAGTGAGTAAGCAGAAGAAGAAAAGGGGGGAGGAGAGACAAGGGGGGGAAAAGGCAAGGAGAAAAATAAACAAATGAGAAAGGAGGGGATGAAAAACCTTAATGCTGGGAAGCAAGACTCTAAGAAACAAAATCTATTTAGAGACAATGGGTAATTTAAATGAAAAAGGGATTCTGGAAGGTACATAAAAGTGTGATTTTCTATGTGTATTCAGAGTAGAATGTGTATTAGTACGTATGATTTGCTCTTTTATGGTATTCCTGGTGGGTTATAGGCTTATATTTTGTAATTGTAGCCTATTTGCTTTTCTCATAAAGTGTTTTTTGTGTGTGTGTGTGTAATTTTAGAATGTACTAACCAGAATCTCAATATAATTTAATTGTTATATTACTGAAAGGTTGACCCACCCTTAACTATTATTAAAATGGGGAGGGGGAACTTGGACTCGAGGTTGAAGGAGGAGGGCTTGACCCAGGGAAGACAATTTTCCAAGAAGTACCATATGAGTTCAGACTGAACTATGAGCGGATCAAGTTTCAGCTCCAACTTTGATTGTTAGTGCCCAGACCTGAGTTTTCATAAGTGGGAAAACCCTAAAAGTGTTTTATTGGGTTACAGGGCTTACTATGAACTTAGAATCTCTAGAGTTAAAATTATATTGCTTGCAGGAGATTTAATTTACCCTTTGAATCATGAGCTCTGCCTCCTATTAAGTAATGATACCTTAACCCTAAACATGCATTGAGGCTTCTGACTGAAGAACTAGCATGATAATTGGAGGAAGCCTGGAGTGATTGTTCAAAAGGTCAGAGTGGTAATATACAGCTAGTTCATTGGAAAAGGAAGAAATGACGCTCACCCTGCATGTAATTCCCACATCCCCAGTCAATGAAGAAGAAAAAAGATCCTGGGTTCTTTTATTTTATCTGTTGTTTATTTAATACAGTGGAAGACGTTCTACATCGCTCTCTTGCTTTCCTTTCCTTTCCAGCAATCTCAGCGGCAACCGTATTTTATGGATAACGCAGGGAGCTTTTCAGGCCTGGCACAGGATGCAGTTTCTATACAAGTTGTAAGTAAAAGTGAAACTCTTTCAGACAGTGGGTGAAATAGATGGTTTCTTAGAATGGCACACAAACTCTCCTCTAAAGCTGGCAGGAGATAGACAGGCTTGTCTGATGTCTTTCAATCCCAAACACTCCTCTTTGGAAGGAGAAGGAGAAGATATAGCTTCTGAGCAGGGACAGCCAACTGTCTCTAATGTTGGTCTCCAAGACAGAGATGTCTTACTCTCCAAATCCACCAGGACATATCTGGGATATTTTCTTATGTTGTTCAGATTTTTCCCATACCATTGGTTCTACCTATGATTATTCCACACTGCTTCCTCGGACTAACAATAACTAGCATTTTGTGATGAATTCTTACTGAGCTATATAAATATAGATAAGTGAGATTCGAGGCACTGTCAGTATGCATCAGTCCTTAAATTCATTGTTGTTACAATATATTCTTAAGGCAAGTCACCCAAAATACAGTGGCAAAACTTTAAGATGACCCTTTGAGATACTAAGCATTTTTTCAGAAACCCTTTTTTCATGTTCAAACAACTTAGAGAGGGAAGAAAAGAAAAGATATCATGCCTCCATAACCTTAGGTTTAACAAAAAGGTAAGCGCTGTAGTAGAAATATTCGCAAATTTAAACAGGTGGTCTGGTAATCTAGATTATCCGGAATCTCATTCTTAAAACTCTGTGAGCAAAGAATCACTAAATTGCAAAGTATTCCATGAGAACATTAATCTCTCAAATTTAAGTAGCTTTAATTTTAATGTTCAGTCTTAAAATGTGAGAAAAAGCCTTTGATGGAATAGAATCATTTTGGGGGAAATGATCCCAAAAAATAAAAATTTAGGTTTGCCCTTAATCTAGTACAAGGTCTTATAGAACAAATAGAGAACTGTGGCTTTGCTACATTTAACATACATGCAATCATATTGAGCTCAAAAGAAACGCTCCGAAATGATGTACTAATTTTAAAAAGAGGCAAGGTTCCTTATTAGGAGCTTTTAAATAAATTTGGTGGCAAGAGGAACCTTTTATTTAATTAAATGGAAAAAATGAAAGGGAAGAATAGGACAATCAGAATTAGGTTTAGGGCACTTGAAAAATAGCAATGTCATTTAGACATTTGACAGTGTGTTTCAGCCCTCTCTACGCAGTTCACAGAGTCAGCATATTGCCCCCAATCTGAGTCCTCATTTTACCTACCTTGAAAGGATGGAAAGCTAAGTCAACCTTGAGCCTGGTGGGATTTGAACTGCCAAATTGCAGGCAGCTAGCAGGCAGCAGAAATAGTCTGCAGTACTGTACTCTAACCACTGCACCACCATGACTCATATATCATTTTATCTGATGCAAAATAAGCCGGATAAATTCTTTATCATAAAAAGTAGCAAATATTAGAACTTGGGTAGTTCTAAAGGGAAATGGAGAAATCCATCAAAGGCTACTAGTCTTGAGCATTCAGGGAACGCTGCTCGGTATAAGAGCATTCCCTTGCCTTTTTTTTTTTTTTACTGGAAGTGAGAATTAAGTATTCCAGATAAATATTTAAAAAATTGAATGCCCTGGAAATGAGTTACTCAAGAAGTATATTACTTCTTAAAAAGAAATAATAGGGTCCATAAGAAATTGACGATGAACACATGCAGATTAAACACAAAAGTAATTAGCTAGTATGGAAGAGATGCAGTTTGTTAAACTGAATGGGAACTGAAATGCAAAACAAATACATGAAGAAAGATGACTGGGAGAAATGGTAGATATAACTGGGTGGAGTTGATGAGGGTCTCAAAAGAGAAGGGGAAAATTTAAAGGCAACATGTGGGATGGGCATAGCAACAAGGAAGCTTGCTTTTTTATTTTTATTTTTTTTATAACAACAAAAACAAACAAAATGTTTCTGTTCATCAGTGTGTCAGTTGGGTACACATTTTTTGTGCACATAATACCATTATCATACATATTTTACTTATATATTTATAATCCTTCTAATCAGTATTTTATATCACATATATCACTTATTATACTAGCCTTAACATATTTATTGATTTTCAATAATATATTTCACATTCATTTTCTTACCATGTCTAATTCATTTGTTTATCAGTAATAAATATTATACTGTACTTACATATTTCAATTTCTTACTCTTCTATCTAGCCATTCATAAAATAAATTCCAAATTTTATAATAATCTTTTTCCTCTTGTTCTGTCATAACAAGGATGCTTGCTAAGGTAGAAAAATACGTAGACATAAAGTAAAAATTCTGATATAAACTGGATTTATATTTCTTTTTTCCATATCTACTACCTTTAATTTCTTTTGCTAATTATTTCTTACTAGTAGGATTAGTAATTAGTAATAAAGTTATTTAGGGTCAAAAACAAAAAAAATGAATAACTTGTTGCTTATACCTGAATTCTTCCTGTTTTATGTTTGGGCCAAATTTATAACCAGCTCTTTTGTCCTTCAGGATTCTCAGCCATAATCCACTGAGAAAGATTGAGGATTCCCATCTCTACAAATTGCCCTCACTGAAATTTCTGTATGTGTGAAGTTCTTTATTAAGGGTTATTTACTCTGGAATGTATGCAGCTTTTCTTTTCCTAATTAATTTAGCTTGGGCTAGTATATATGAAGATCAATATAGTCCTTGATCAGGGCCATAATTACCTAGGTCCAGATTTTCTTACAGCCATGGAATAGGTAACCATGGATTAGTCAAGAGCTGTCAAGCACTTTAACATTGTCTAGATCAGGAAAAAGATCTTACAAAAAGACTAGAACTACGCTTCATTGAGATGGTTAGGTAAATGGTCTTGAGGTCTCAAGGAAAAGTTGGTAACTGTAATCACTTCAGAAGGTTATTTTTGTGAGGAGAAAACAAAATAGGCATGAATTATATGTGTATGTAAAGAAGAGGAAAAAGATCAGGAAAGCATTGTATGTTTTGTATTTGCAGTTGTCAGCATTTCATTACATTAATGGTAGATTTTTAATCCTGAGTCCAGAATCTCATACCTAGGCTGGAATTTATGAATGAATCCATGGAACTACATAAAGTTGCTTTAATTTTACATTTGTTTTTGTGTCAGCACACAGCAAATATCCCAATATATTTTGTACCCACTGGAAGACTTTGGGCAAATAGATTTATAAAGCTAATTTTTAGAATAAGCATTGAAGCTCAAGCCTTGTTCAAAATCAACAGTTAGTATTTTTACTTGGTGTGAACTTATCACAAGACTTATGTATTCCCCTACAACAAGAGCCTTATGGGTTAGAATGGCTGAGAATGAGTGGCTGATCCAAAGTCATCAAGGGAGTTCAGACAATTAAGTGGAGACTGGAGCTTGGGTCTTCCCATGCCCAGACTAGCACCTTAATCACTCTGACACTCCTATGGAAAGCAGTGCAACAATCTCAATGATGGGCTGTGCTTATTTAATAGGAAGGAAGATCTGTATGTGTATTTCTTTTCTTATTTTAAGCATTAATTCACATGTGGTAGGATCGACATCCTGGCATTGGAAACTCAGCTTGAGGGCTAAGTCATGGCAACTTTCCATTCTGGCTCTGCATGATGAAGAGTTGTGTACAGTATTGTTCAGCAGAAACAATCTCTTTCCTAGCTCACTACAGCAGCTGGTCACATCATTTGATTACTTATCATTTGATTTAAATCAAATCACATTGTTTTTTGTGTCCTTTTCTTCAAGGAGCTCAAAGCAGTGAAAGAGTAATATTTATTCATTTTATATTTGAGCAATCCAATCAGATAAACTGAATTCACGACATTTAAATTAGTTATTGAATATAAAAAAATGGCTACTAAACCGTGTATTGTGTTTGCTCGGTGTACTGAACCGTAAGCATATCATGCAAAGCCAACAGCAGCAACAACAACAAAAGCACAAAGTAAGATTTAACATAATTTAGTTCTGCCTATTATTGACTGTAGATGCTAGGTCATAACTTGGTTAACTGTGTTGTAAGCCCAGTCATAAACTAGGTCAAGGGATAACCAATGAGACTAAGTCTCTCACTCAATTTCATGAATTTATTTTCCCCGGCTCTGTTTTGAAAATTATCTATCTCTCCCTACCTCTGAAAAGGCTGCATGTCCTTTTTTTGCAGGGACCTTGGTTATACAGAAATAACTACAGCCATACTAGAGAATTTGCTCAAAATTTCCTTCAAGTTGAAAACTCTGTAAGTATCTTGATCTTTTTCTGTAACTTCCAAGACAAAATGAGAAGGGGGGGATATTATCCCTTTCTCCCCTTCTCTCCCTTTTCCCACCTCTCATCCTTTTGAAAATGGCAATGCAGATGTTGTCATTTCCTCATAGGGAGCATTTTACTAATATTAAAACTAGTTGTTCAAGCCATCAGTAATTCACATTTCCCAACAAGAATGCTCAATTATCATGAATGTTGACCGTGGACAGGGTGGGTGTCCCAGAACATTTTCTGTCCACATTAGTTCTCAAAAAAAAAAGCCAGAGTTCCTTAGAACCTACCAGCTAAAATGTATTAATGGAAACATCAGAACCGGCAGGTAAAAATCTTTAAGAGATAGTTTGTACATTGCTGTCAGTCTTGTTCATTCACATACATACAGTATGAACTGCAGGCAAGAGGGAGAGCAGGGACATCCAAGGTATGTTCCATTAATGTTCAACAGTGAACATCGATAAGAAGTTTAGGATTAAAAGGGCCTAAAATGCTCTAAATACATACTGATTGTGTGGCAGATGTGTCTGGAGGTCTGGAAAAGACTAGTTAATATAGAAAGTAATCCCTGAGATCAAACCATAGTATAAGTATTATATTTATAAAAAATATAGAAAGCATAAAAATCTGATAATCTCAGTGTATTAACTCCTGAGCAATTGTACCACTTAAATGTTCAAGGATCTGATTCCAGCAAGATTCTACTACTATGCCTAAATTCTGAATTCAAGAAGAGTCTTGAGTTGTAGTACCAGATACACAAGACCTAAGAAAC